ATGAGTATTTACTAATAAATTTTTTATTCTGTTTGTATTAATTTAAAGCATAGAAAAGATGAATATATTGAAAAAACGAATGTATAGATGAAATGAACGTGTTGAGAAACGAATGTATTTGGAAAAAAATATGTTGGGTGAATGAATGTATTAAGGTAACAAATATTTTGAGGTAATAATATGTGTTGAGGTAATAAATGTATTGGGATTGTTGTTGCTTACCGTACGCCACTGATTAAAGTCCCTGTCATAATGCTCCATGAAAAAGACCTAGTTATTATTTGTAGAGCACAAAGTTGATATAGGATGCAACAGTTAATATAGAATGCATTAGATGATATAGAACACAGTGATTGGCATAGGACGCAATATTGATATTTTTTTTATAGATTAGTTACGGCAATGCACATCCGTAATCTGTAACAGGTTATGTCACTAATGTTACTTACCTTCCAATTATACTTCAGCATTTTCACTATAGATGCAGACACTTAAAAACGTTTGGTTATTTCCAATTGATGTATCATCACATCAAACTAGAGATTGGAATCGATGAGTTTCGCATTGATTGGTCACAAACTCTAGATTTTTGAGCATCGGTAAAAAATTTTGGCCGATGCTCGAATATTCATTGAGTTTTTAAAAAATACATAGAAGAATTTAGCAACATGAAATTTATTAATTGTACTATGATCTCTAAATTAATTAATTACAATTTACATAACTTACCGCTGATTTATAACTTGCGATTTATATTATAAAAACAACCAAGCATTGCTGATTTATAACTTGTGATTTATATTATAAAAACAACCAAGCATTGCTGATTTATAACTTGTGATTTATATTATAAAAACAACCAAGCATTAATCCTAGACATCGAAATAGTAAAATCAATTAATTTCATATTATGCTTTAGAAATACTATTCTGTCAAATAACTTTGGCTTTAATAAAGTTTTTTTCACACTCATAACATTTTTTGCATCTGAAACAAGTGCTCACTTGGTGTGCTTGCAGAAATTTTTGGGCCATTTCACTTAAAATCGGAAATAGCCATTTTTGTAAAGATTACTGTACTATAGCAAAATCAAGCTCAGAAATAACAAGATAATTTGTAACTTTGTTATTTTCTTGGGTTTGTAAGCTTGATAAAAAAACAGATTTAATGAACCCTTTGCAGTAAACTTGCTTTTCATTTTGGTTAATTACAGAAACTAATTTAGATGTTGATTAAATAACTTGTTTCGATAAATAGTGTAGCTTCTTAAATTCTGTATACATAGTATATAAAGTTTCTTCAATGTGATTTTGCTCATCAGTTAATAAAACATGTAATCTTTTACATCTTGGATTCAATTGAGTTTTTTAACAATGTTAATTTGATAAAATTTATTAAATAAAATTTATGAAATTGTTATTCAAAACTTATAGTTAAATTTTAATTTGACTGATGTTTGATGATTGATTGAGTTTAAAGTTCAATATATTAAGTTTATTTCGATGTGTAAAATTTTTAATCAATTTTAAAATATTTATTCACTGATTCCACTTTTTATATAAAATTGTTATAATATGTAAATCATAAAAATTGATATTTAATTCTATAGTTATGTCTATATTAAATGAGTTTTTTAATAAAAATTTGATTTTTAAAGACTTACTAATAGTAAAATTTAGTAGATAAAACATACCTATAGTGGTTTGCATCTTTTATATGTTTTTATTATGTTTTTTAAAATTTCTAAGTTTTTATAAGTTTTGTATATAAAATTTTTAACCCTAATTTTTTCATATTAAAGTTAATATTAAGGTTAAAGTTAGGGTTTGTGAAGGATTTTTGGAGGCATAGAACATTTTTACTTAGAACACCTTACACTGATTAATTAGCCAGTTTTTGAGATATTGTATATATAGATGTACAACACCAAAGGTGCATTTTAGTAAAATTTATTATTTATTAATTAAAACCTATACAATGTAATTTAAATTTGAAAATATTTATTATATTTAGACTTTTTAACTATAAAAATACAAATTATAAAATAAATATTTAAGTTTGTAAAATTTATCTTTATATACTATAATATATTTTATAAAATTTATTTGTATAAATATAGTTATGATCTTTTAATATATAGTATTAATATATATTTAATTAATATTAAGATCAATTACAATATACATCTTCACCAATTTGATTTTAGAAGTCTTTTTTTGATAAACAATTATATAAGCTTTTACTACTAAATGATATAAAAAATGACAAATGAAACATTCAATAAAAATATTTTTATTTTCTATATAAGATAAATAAACAATAAATACTAAAGTACAACTATACTAAGCCATAAAAAAAAGTACTATCATTAGTTATTAAAGTATTTGAATATTTTAGATACTAAATAATTGGCTTGTTATTGAGAACAATTAGTTGTAGAATAGATAAGCATGAATCTAAAAGCAATTTTTTGAGAAAAACACTCTTTTTAACTTGCTTTTAACTAATAATTAATCATATAAATATTGCAATATTTTATATACTTAATTATAAATTCAAAGTAAGTTTAATAAACTATTTGTATAAAAACTTATTTTGTAATAAATTTTAAAAACAAATAATTCTTAATCATGATTGGCTAATTTTGAAAAACATACCAAATTGACTAATATAGATTAATATAAAAATTAATTACAATACATACTAATATATATTTATATCTATAGTTAGTTTAGAATTAAAACCAATATTAGTATGATTTTTAAAAACCTTGTTAGTAAAATAATATAAATCTAATTATTTTTGAAAAATATTATCTTAAAAAATATATTAATTTAAAATAAATATTTATAATACTATTTTTAAATAAAATAAATGCTTATTTTTAAAATATTAATTTTTATTAATTTATATATTTTTATATTTAAGTTATTAAATATATCTATATTAAATATTTTTGTTTTGAATTGGATTTGTAAGATATGTATTTCTTCTTCTTTTATTTGAAATAATAATAGATTCATTATTATTTTGATCTATATTGTTTGAAAGATCAATTGAAACTCTTCTAAATTCTGTTGATACTTCATTTTCATTAGTTACTGTAATAAAATTATTCATTGCTGATATAAATTCAGTATCATTATTATTTTCATTTATATTAATATCTTCAAGTATGTCATCTTCATCTAATTCAATAATATTATTACTATTAATTTCTTCTCTATCATTTTCATGTTTATTTTTATTAGATTTTAAATATGTATTAAAATTATTTGATATTGTTTCAATTGAAGATTTATAATATTGAAAGCAATAATCACATGTAAAATTTAAATTATTAAAACATGAAGTATGATATGAATGTCCACATAATAAAATAATAATATTTGAATTTACAATATTACAAAATTGTAAATCATATAATTTTTCTTTATTTGGAGGTATATCTGTATGATATGCTGATGGAAGAATTCCTTTTACAAAACTTTTTTCAATTGTTGGAAAATAAACTTCAATTTGATTTTTTTGATTTTTTTTAATTTTAAAATCATTTTGTTTTTGATAAAATTTAGTAAAAAATTTTAAAAGAAATATACTAGTATTAGAAACTAAAGAATCTAATTGAGGTTTAGAAAATAAATATTGTTTTGTTTTTAAAAAGCTTGAAATAAATTTATTTTCATGTTTTTCATAATCTATAAAAATTCTATATCTATGAAGAGTTTTTAGATTTGTTAATTTAGATGTAGTACTTCTACGTACTAAACTATAAAAATTTTCAACAGGATATTCATCAAATAAATTTAGATTATTAAAAAATATATTCATTATTGGATGTTGATTTTCATTCCATTGTAAAATATCTGATAAAAAAACAAGCATTATTTTATCATAATTTTTTCGATTACATCTACGCATAAACATCCATAATCGAAATATTGTTTTATAATAATATTCAAAGTGATTATTTTTAAATAAATTTGTATAAATATCTAAAGTTGAAGGTATAATATCATCCAAAAGATTTAAAATTGAATAAAAACCACCATTTTTAGAATTTTTAAATGCTTCAAGAATTTTAGATCTTATTTTAATCCATCCAGAATGTATAATATAAAGTAATAAATTTATTTGCCATGGTTTTGGTTTTGCTGCTAAATTTTTTTTTTGTTAAAAACATTTTTATATAATTCATTAAAAAATAGATGAAATTTAATAATACATATTTCTCGAGTATTTAATGAAACATGTAAAGGTCCAAGTAATGG